GGTGGGTACAAGTATAGAGATAGTAACACACTCACACCCACCCTCAATATATATGAAAACTTTTACGTGTTTTTCTTTCTCTAATATATTTGATGGATATTGAAAACACGGTCTTGTATCGAGAAGTTGAATTAGTATGGAATGTAAATATGTTACCTTTTATATGAAACTATATAAAACTACTCTTAAATGATACTAGTTGCTTCCAAAATATGAGAAAAAAATATTCTCAACGTATTTTGAAAGTTTTCAGGTTGTAGTCAGAAATGATCCCGGCTGGTACTCCAAAGGTTCATTATAGAAATATCTAAAAGAAAAAATCTACTTTATAAAATATCAAATATATTATTAAAAAATATTCTATCCATATAATCTATGGACTATGAATAAATCATCATTTTCTATATTTTCATGCAAGTAATCAGTGGTTTTTATTTATTAAATCAATATGTTCTCAATTAACCTACAGTAGAAGTACATCATCATCCGAATCAAACAGTTCTTTGAAAAAGAAAAACAAACGTCTAGTAACAAGTTGATTACATATAAATTAATATTTATATATATATATAAATGTGTTTAAACAGATTGTCTGTCATTCATGAGAACGCACTTATAGAAACACAAGCGAAAAAGGAAAATAACAGAAAACTATCTGATTTTAAAACAAACTAAAATGTGAAAATAGGATGGATCAATCTATAATATATATATTTAATATTGTTATAAATAAAAGGGTAATAGAAAAATAAATTTTTCCTCATATTCAGATCTTCATTGTCTACCAAAACGAATATCAATCACCGAGATTATGATTATGGTTTATTTGTTTGTTTGTTTCTTTTCATTATGGACAATTGATTTCATTACTAATGAAATTGTTCAACATCATAAACTAGTTTCACAGCATCTAAAACATGTTCAACTGTATATTTTGGTTTTTTTAATTCGGGATCAATAATCATATCACGATGACCATGATTAATACTAGATGTTTCATCATAAGCATCATGATTATATACACCTGTACAGACAAGTATTGATTGAATATTTTCTGCTGAATAATAATGTTCAGCATCAGCAGCAACTAATTCAACAGCATTTGAATTACTCCATACATTTGTATCAAGCATTGGTGATGCATTCGATGTTAAACTACCGGTAGCTGTTTTTGTAACAACTTGTTTTAATTTTGATAATGCTCGAGTTTGTAAATAACGATTATAAACATTTGCACCGAATACATCCGTATCTGGATTGTCCTTAAAAACAAATAATAGAATTTTTATTGAATTCAATGTGTTCTTTTATGA